CATTCTAAACACTTGGTGAGTGATGTAACATTAGCATAAGACCCAGGACCACATGGAACATGTTTCTCTGAGGCATTAGCTGGACAGTGAGACCCCAAAGGACATTCCTGGCACTCAATGCTCCTCGATGGAGCAAAGGATCCTTGATAACATGGAATTGGGTCAGCTGAATTGTCTGTGCACCTTTAAAAGAAATGCATCAATCAAACTTTTGCTCCTGGTGCATATTCATCTACCAAATACTATTGTTAGGCATAGCCATCAAATTCATGTTTACCACCATTATTCACTTCTAATACACAATAGTAAATAAATGTAGAAAGCTTATTAAAACTTACCACCAAGGAGATCATTACACTGATAATGTATTTGCCAGAATATTGATCATGTAATGACTGATTTTCTCCTCCCCTCCCCCCCCCCTTCCCCCCCTCTTGCCTCAGCATGTGCATGCACACCCAAGCTTAACTCACACAAACAAACCCTGATAATAATGGAATTTCAAGGTGAAAGGGTATTTGACATCCACAAAGAAAGTACTACAATGAATTCCTTACTTGTGGCCACTTGGACACACTATACAGTGGGTAGCTCCAGCTTTACTGTAAGTTCCATTCTGGCATTCCACTGGTTCTTCAGCAGGATTTGGACATTTAAAACCTGGCATACATTCTAAACAGCGTGTAGCATTCTTCACAACCGAATAAGACCCATTCGCACAAGGGAGATGATAAGGAAGCTTCTCGGATGGACAATGTGAACCAATAGGACAGGAATGACAAAAGATACTATGTGCTGGAGCAAAAGTACCATTTGTGCAAGGGATTGGATCATCTGAGTTCACAGGACATCTAGAAAATAAAATTTAGGTAGGAATATTATTCATTCCTATCACAAAGGCTTTTCATTTGTACAGACCCAGAATGACATGGTACATGCATTTGTGATAATCAAATACTTACTGATGGCCTTCAGGGCAAATGGTACACTCTGTTGCCCCACCCTTACTATATGTCCCATTTGGACAATCCTCAGGTGGCTGAGCAGGATTTGAACATTTTTTACCAGCTGGACAGCTCTGACAAATACTTTGATTTACACTGTCTGTGAAAGTGCCATTAACACAAGGGAGATATACTGAAAGGCCTGATGATGGACAGTGAGATCCCACTGGACAGGACTGACAGTGTAAACTCCCTGATGGAGCATAATTACCAGCTGGACATTCAGATGGATCAGTACTTGGGTCAGCACAACTGCAATATCACATAAATTGGATAATTCAATAACTTATTAAATACAATGAATTATTGCACTTTGACTTTGGTGACTGGCTATACCTGAACCTTTACACACTAAACTACGTATGCAAATTTTCCATGTAGTTCTCTATAAATTTCCTATAGTACTGCAGAGGAGACTGTCTAACAATCAAGGGCTTCTTGAGTTTTCCATCATATCATTTATTTTTGTGACCTTTATATGTAATTAAGGGGTAATACTGTTGGATTACTGTTGATACTTCTGGGATAATGAGTAAAGCATTTACTTATCGATGATGAAGCTTATTTGTTCAATACATAAAACTTTATTCATCAGAACAAAGCAGACATTGCACTTATTTCAACGATATGACATAACTTACCTGTGTCCACCTGGACACTCTGTACAGACAGTTGAGCCATTCTTACTGTATGTTCCATTCTCACAAGGCTGCTCCCCTTGAGAAGCAAAGGGACAAAAATGTCCTGCTGTGCACAACTGGCATTGTGTTTGCCCAACAGTGTCTGTGTAGGTACCATTGAAACAAGGCAAAGGACTTGCTAAGGAAACATTTGGACAATAAAATCCTTTATCACATTGTAAACAAGAAGTTTGCCCTGCAGCAGCATATTCTCCAGGATTACATCTAACTGGCACAACTGTTTGGTTGGAACATCTGTTAAAAAAAGCAATATAAGAGTTACACTTGCTCTCATTTAGCTTCTTTGTATATTAGAGTGGTAACTCTGAAATGGAAAACTTAAATTGCTGTCTGATATGTCTTCATAGATGTACATGCAAGTAGGGGACACACACTGTTCACATTTAGGTGTATCCACATTAATGGACATCTATAAATGATATGTACTATCACTTTTGTCCAATTAAGGTTTGTTACTTCATCCTTGAAAACATGGACTGATAATTCTCTCTGCTTGAAAAACAGCTATGAACTTGTACTCAAGATATTCTGTCTTACATTGAAGAAGAAGTGCTATTCAATGTATTCCTAAATAATTTTGTAGTAATAACAAGACTCACTGATTTCCAGGTGGACAAACAGTACATTCTGCTGCTGCTCCAAGACTATAGCTTCCACTGGCACATGATTGACAAGATGTACCATTATATGAGAATGTTCCTGGCTCACAGACTGAGCAGTTTGATTGCAAAAGACTTGGTTCATAACCTCCAGGGCAATACTAAGAAAACAAAAAAAATCACCTAATTTTGCCTACTGATATTATTGTGTGGGAGACAGCACAAGATTTTATACATTCATGTTAACCATGAAAGTTGTTCCTTATTTTGGATAAGCACAGATGGCATGGAATACATGTCATGGTTAAAATATTACCTTAGATTTATATCTATCTGACAGCACAAGTTTAATTTTTTCTTTCTCTTTAGGGATTATTAATAATTATACCTTGAACAAAAGAAACTATCAATCAAACTGGTTTGTAAAATTCAACACCAGCTAAAAATTTAAACCACAACATGTTCATTCCATAAAAACATATTTTTTTTTTTTAATTTCACTGCTTTTATTTGACTCTGTAAGTTGTACCTTTGGTCAATTGTATATCCAAGAAATTAATCATTGACAATAACCTTACTTTGATTTATTAATAATTTAAATGAAATTTAGTCTGTACCTGAGGTTGCTGAGTAGGATCCAAGCACACTCTCCCAGTAGGACAAGAGTGACAGATTCCTTCTCCATAATTAGAATATGTTCCAACAGGACACAAAGTGATATTTCCAGCTAAAGTACAGTTGTAACCAGCAGGACAAGGTGTAGTGCATGCTACTGAACCTGCTGTGCTGTTTGTTCCCGATACACAAGCCTATTAAAGACAGCCACATCAGTTTTTCTCATTTCATTAACAAAATTTTTTTTAAGGAGGAAGGAGATGAGAAAAGATATCAGTTAAATTGTTTGACAGTTTGCACTAAATTCTCAAGGCTAAAATTATATGAAATGTATGGCAATCAGAGTAAAGAATTAACATGCTTTAGGACTGAAACAGTTAATGCTCGAAGCTTAGTTGTCTCTGTCTTCTCCTTCCTGCATTAATTCGATTCATTAGATGAAGACTACTTTACCATCACCACAGGTATTAATTTCTAATCAGTGACTAGGCCCACATTGAATATAGATGTGGCTGCAAAGTAACTTTAAGTTTGCACGAGGCTACCTGGTAAAGTCAAATTTCTATGCTGCATGCTTTGAAAAATGGTGAAAATAAAGTTAACAAATAAAGAAACTACAAGGTTGACTTTCCTATTCTACTAAAAACCTGATATAATATTACAAAATCCCGATAAAAGAAAGCTGAATGTCTAAACGTACTTTAGCTAATCATCATTTTCTAGGTTCAGTTCATAATTTCCAACAGTTGGGGTTGCGATGAGAAATGTTTAGGATAAAAGCTTCGAGATGGAAAGAAACCTAAATGATCAAACTTACCGTACAATCGGATGAGTTTTTTGAACCGGTATTCGGATTTTCGGTTCCCGCTGGACAGGGCTCAGGGGCAGTACTGTTTCCCAGGCAGCTAAAATAAAGTTATAATATCATTAGCTTTAAAGAAACCTCTTATCCAATTGAGATAAAAACAATATATTCTGCAACCACTTTTAATATCAAAACAACGTGAGATGAAAGTATCCAAGTAAGTGTAACAGAAGGTTCAAGCCGATAGACAACCCCCAACAGTTAATATAAATTCTGTATGTATAATCTCGAGTCCTTTGGCAAAACATCTGGATCCTGGATATTCCTATGTATCGGTACAATAGTGAGTACAGGTCACGGGAAGATTTGTTACTTACAAGTGTCCAGCAGGACAGTCAACACAGTTACTACAGACCCAATATTGTCCAGCAGTACAATTGCTTTGACTACAGGAACATTCTGTCCCACAATCACAAGCTGCTCGAGCTAGACCTAAGCAAGAGAACACAAAAGTTAAACATCCAAGATTTCTGTAAAGTCATTTCCTTAAACGCCACAATAGAAAAGCGCATCTGAAATGATAATGACATGTATGTGATTATGATCTTACCGGTGAAGCTCACAAAAATCAAGCCAAATATTACGATAAGATTCAACCGCAGTTTCCCGCTCTGAGATGTGTGACATTTTAGCATCGCTAAATTACTCATATTAATGCTTGTTCTGTTGAGTGTTTTAGGGAGACAGGAACCTCGATGAGCGGTAATATAAATCGGTCACAGAAGTTGCTGTCTGCAGAAATTCCAGCTGCACTCAGTTGAACGTTTGTAAAATGACATGTTGAACTCGAAGCATTCGAACAGCGTTCTAAATAAAATAAGAAGTCACCAGACTTCCTCCAAACAATGCGCGGTATCAAACTTCAAAATTCGACGTTAATAGTGTACCGAAGTCCGAGTATCCGCGATTATGTTATGAAATGTTCCACCGTGATTAGAGAAAAATTCCACAATGTTTTGTCATGAAAATTTGGTTCTTGCGGAAGATCACGTTGATTACTCTCCGTGACGTCACGTCTAAGATGTTGTCATGGAAGCCATCAGTTTGTTTGTGACAAACTTTCCGCAAGTTTCGCTAGGCTACGTGAGGATTGGTGGAAAAAGAATAGGCATCGTAAAAGCTCGTTTAGATAATTAACTTTATTGTCTTAAGGACAAAGTAACCCCTAGAGAATTTTGATTGTTAAGAAACAAACTGCTGAGTTCGCGGTGACTTCGGAATTCTTGACCGATTAAATTTCTTTGCGACGCACTTTTACGCTCTCCAAATCACAACATCTACCTTATGAAGCTCATCGACTTTACTGGTAACCGTCTGTACGAAGGCACTGGAACCTGTTCAGTTTGTTTGTTAAGCTTTCAATTAAGTGTTAGAGACCACTGTACTGTCAGCCCTGCTTGGAAATAGCTGATTTAACTAGCTGAAAATATTCTATACAAATTTAAAACAATTATTTTTTGTCTCACTATATCCTTTTATATTTATGATGAAAAGACATCTCATCCGGAGGATTTTCACCATAAGAAGATCTAGAGGAGGGCGAATCCTTTTCTTCTTTTCAAGGAGTTTTCCTTCTTTTATATCACAGAGGGTTTTTTTTTCCTGAACGAGAGGTTGGCATGAGCCCAGTTTCGCATTGCAGCGTAAATAAACTTCAGGAAAAAAAAATAGCAGTGTGTGACCGTATTAAGTGAAAAGTACAAGTGCAAAAAATTTCATTTTTTAACAAACACACGTACATATGTAGTGTGAGAAAATTGAAAGGATAACGCAAAAATCCTACTTAAGGGAGAAATAGAAGGGAAAACTGGTTACCAAAGAGTTTGTTGCCAAGGCAACCACGATTTGACGCTGGAGAAGACAAATATGGCGACTTTCATTGTCGCACGAGATATAATTCCTTCGTAGGTTTATTATAGATTTCGGATTACAACACTTAATCAACTGAATGAACAGGGGTTTTGAAATCTCTAGAGGATGATGAGCTCACAAGATGCATGAAAAGAGGGGCAGTTTAACGTACTATCAATTTCGTATACCCCTCGATCCCGCGCAACAACTACCCAAGAGAAAAGGTATGGATCACAGCTTGACTGTTCGTGAAAATTTGCTTAATAAACTAGTAGGGAAACGGTTTGCTCTGGTTCTATTTCGCAAATGTCGCTCTTGAATATTTTTGCTTCTTGTATCTCGACACTTGATCTGCTGATCTGGATTTGCATGAGATACGAGATGTGAAACATCCGCATGGTTAAGAAACGGCTCAGATTGCAATTGGTTAAGGTGCTTCATTTTAAACTCTAAATTGTACGCATATTAATCCTTTAAATAAACGTAAACATATATACATATATTTCAAGAGTGAAAATATGTTTTTCAAAAACTCTTGTCTCGGATCAGCTGAAAGATTCAAGAAGAGCAGCAGTTCCTGGAACACAGTTGATTCCAGGCCATGCAGTCAGCAAAGTCACAACTGTGTTTCCATAGAGCAAGATATTCACGACCGGAATTCACAGGTAAGACTCAGTTTGTAGTTCTGCTATCCCTAACAGACTGTTCATGAAATGGGAGAGATCAATTAATATTGTTTGTATATCGAACAGCATATTTTGGTTGGATCTGCACTGAGACGACCCCATGCAAGTGAGTATTCTCCACTGGATTACCAAAGTATGCCAGATGTTGGAAAGTCTCCACGTCAGCCTTTTAGGCCTCAATCTTCATGTACAGTGTACAACTATGCTTCTCGTCCTGTCACTGCAAGGGAACAGTCATCGCACCTTGGAAGACATACAAAGTCAAGGTAAATATCAACTCACTGTTATTAATGTGCAATGTTTCTAATGGGAGTCTTGCCTTTGGAACTCTACAAAACCCTCTTTGTGTTGGATAAAGTTTACCAATAACTTCCCTTTAATAACTTGCGCATTGACATGAATTGTTCTGTTTTGGTTGGGTAATAATTTGGTACTTGGATAGGGTTAGACTAGTATGGGGTTGTACGGAAATCTTTGCACTGGGTGTGATGCAGAAATATGACAAGAAATTGAAAGACTTAATGAACAATTGTAGGTATTGTAAAGGAAAAAGCAGATTTTTTTTACATTTATTAGCAGTTTTACCTTAAAACCTGATGCACGTTTTCCTCATCTTCACTCAATTGCAATTTCAGCTTGCTGAGATGTCAGTCAGCCTCATCAGTTTCCATGAGTTCACATTTATCCCGCTCAAATTTTAAATCAGCAACAAACAAGAAACGTTTATGTGAAATTCGTAAGTTGACACATTTCTGTGAATATTAATCTCTATTAATATGAATCTAGACATCGATAACTGAGAGGCCTGGGTTCCTTTTCTTTAGATTGAGCAATTTGTTCAGCATATAAGTCATAAGACTTGGGTAGAGCCAATGGCTATTCACCACACTAATACGTTTTACTTGCAAAATTACTTAAGTAGTACCGCTTAGGTATCTGTACATGTGTTATTAGTAATCTAGCAAGCAAGCAAGCAACAAGTTTATTTCTAGCTTTAAGAAAGTTTTAGTTTCCCTCCCACCCACACCATTGAAAGTTTTGATTGTATCTTAACCTCATTCGTGTTTGTAGTTTATTCCTGATTACTGGACGGTTGGTTTAGTGTATTCATTCAATATGTCATAGTCTAGTGTGTTATTTACGTAGGATATATACATTTAATAAACTGTCTGGTCCCAAAACAAGTGTCTGTCAGTTGTGGTGTTTAGTTGGTAAATACAGATGTTTATAGGGTTTACTCTACAAGGCTGTAACACGTTGGTCTTATCCATATAGAATCTGCCTTCTCAATTGAATTACTAAGTTTAATACCAAAAGGTTTTGAATATGATGATCCAAAATGAGAGTTAATGTTTACTTGACCATATGTTGTGTTAGCTAAGAAGTATACTTTGTTGATCTGTCTCCAGAAAGAGATCTTCAGATCATCATGGAAACTTTGATGTGTCTCCAATCACTCTTGCAAGCAGTGCCATTTGGCCTTTTTTTCTGTTTTTAAATATATTGGTTACTTTATAAGTATTTAAAAAATTTTTATCATTTTTAGGTGATGACTACAGATTCTTCAAAAGTGATCCAATGCACAAACAGTAAGAATTTTTTGCCATAAATTTAATTGTAAAGGTTATGTTTTAACTTGATAAATAAATTAATTGCCAAAAAATACTAAAATAAAACAAGGAGTCAAATTTACAGCTAATTTATAGGTTTTTTCTCGAAATCATGCAGCACAAAAGCCATGTCAGTTACTGAATCACATGTCACTTGGTGAACTTATCTATCATGTGAAAATGGTGGCTTTTCTAGATTTTGTAGGCATAAGTAGTGGTCACAGATGAAGTGAATTAAGTCTTAAAACTCCTAAGAATTTCAATACATTCAGATGTGGTCACAGATAAAATGAATTAAGTCTTAAAACTCCTAAGAATTTTAATACGTTCAGATGCACAGGTACCATCAAAAAGAGGTTTATAATGTTTCTGTTCTAAAAAATCAAACCAGATTGGTTTAGAAAGGAGAATATTAACTTTTTAAAACAAAAACAATATAACACATTACTAGGTAACAAATGTTCTTTAAAAATATTTAATTATAAACTCCCTGACACTCTTACATCTACATTGTTTACTGAAAATGAAAAACAAGAAGACACAGAGTTTAATCAGACAAGAACTGCTTACAAAAATTAACTCTAACTTGTGAAGTACATAAACAATTCCTACCTATTCCTTCAATTAACCCTTTACATCCTAACATCAGGACATATATTTTCCACACTGTTCTCTTTACATTTTCTAATGTTCCAACAAGGATAATTTGTTCAAAAATCTATAGCTTATGTAGTCATTTATCATTTCCCTCATTCTCATGACCTAAATGTTTGATTCAGGGGTGATAATGTAAGGAGAAATTAGATGCTAATCATTCTCAGGGGTGAAAGGGTTAAGCACACTTATGAATATTTTTGCAATTAAAGGAATGGATTGGTTATGAAGCAAATTAAATATTTATATAATCAAGACTTCTTATTAATCTTCCTCTTACAGAGTACCTCCCCATGGTGAAAGTCTTCACAGCTTTTTAACTGGAGCAAGGTACAACAGGTACGATACTGACTACACCATATTTAACTCTGTCACTGATCTGAGAGACCAAGTTTGAAAGTGAAGACTGAAAAAAAACAGTGCCTTACTTAAAGATAAAGATTTTTAACTCCTATGGCTCAACTCCTGATTAGATGGTGGGTTTCTAAATAAACATTGTTTTCAATGTTTTACTTAGTTCTTCTTTTTTTCAATATTTATTTATTCATTTTATGTTATACTTGTCTTACAGAGCAAGATACTTGGATTGGCGTGCTCTCTCTAAGCTAGGAGTTTATATTCCCAAGCCTGATCTGAACTCATTCTTCATTAAGAATGAGTTTGATGGTAAGCCTATAGTTATAAGGAAGTTATTGTGTTGATAGAGCAACATTAATGTCTGACACTCTACCTGTTACAAGCAACCACATTGAACTCATGGTAGTCAGTAAGTTGAGTGAAGTGAGGGTAAAGCTTTCTAATACCTGTATCATTTTTTTAAATTTATGCTCTTTTTGTGAAATGAACACCCACACAGGTTTCCCCCTTCACTCCACAGGCCTTTTTCCAGAGCACAAAAATATTTGGGGATGTAATCAATTGAGTCTATTGAACAAAATAAATATTCTTCTTGGTGAATAAATTTACCCTATTACCAGATGTTATTAATGGCAAGTAGGGAAACAGCATGGTTGAACTGCCCAACTGGCTCAATTTTTTCGTTTCAAGTAAAGAGTTCAACTCCTCAACCACAGTTGCTGAGGTCCATTTCAACCAGTTATAATCAATTTACATATGGAAAACTTATTTATTGTCTAATGTCAACATCCAGATTCAGATGCAAGAAGCATCTTTTCTGACTCTTCTGAAGAAGAACTAGTGGTTGAAGGACTGAAAGAAAAAGGAGAGGAAGATAATGGGACTTTTCTGACACGGGAAACAAATACAGAACCACATTACCTAAGTATTAAACACTGGCATTCTACTGAATGGAAAACAGACAGAAAGCCAAGTAAAGAGCAAAGGATACAATCAGCACCCTTAAAAATCAAAGCCATTCACACATATTATTATGACTACAGTCAAAAGAGTGAATCATCTGTAACTGTTTAATTGATGTGCTGATAATTATTTTTATTACAATTATTAAACTGAAAAATATTGAAATGGTTATTTTAAGTTTTTATTGTGCATCATTTTGATGTACAAATCCATTTAAGTTGAACTGTATGGAGCAAAAAAAGTAATAAGCATCACTAGTTATTTCACATGCATCATGGATTTGAAGCTTCCATCCGGGGAATTCAACACAAAATGAGTCCACAAAATTCCTGAACAGAATTTCCTGTTGTAACACAGTTGAATGCTCACTGTGCAGTCTCTCCCTTAACAATTTGTGCCACTTATAAAAGCTCTTTTGATGTCATTATGTTGCAAACCAACTTTCTCAAAGCATGAATGTGTTAAGATGAACAACTAATAAAGTTTAGAAGAAGATTACACAAAATTAAAGGGCTCACAGAGATTTTCAAGTTTGTAACCTTGCAAGAAAGTAGGGTTAGGGTTAGAGATTTTTGGACAGACTTGTGTTTGGGAATTTCGCGTATGCAATTTATTTACTATTTGGTAGATATTTCTGTTGAGTGTTTTCAACAGGAGTTTTTGTAACTTCTTATGAGGAAATAAAAAGTTAATGCTTTGCATTGAGATCACTGATTCTTATTGCTTGTATTCACCCTAGCTAATAAATGTGACATCAATTCAAAATTGCGGTGGTTAATTAAAATTTATTTCCTTTAGCAATAAGTATCATACAAAATTTCTATAAATTATCGATAAACAAGTTACAATCACTTTTTTAACACAAAAATGTTACCATAGCAACACCACAGCCTCTAAGAAATACCCATAGATTTATTTAGAATTATGAGTCTGTAGCAAAAAAGAAGTTTGGTATTGCCTGTTTTATATTTATTTCGTACATTGCAAGTCTGCATAATAGTTAATTGCTTAGCAATGTCCTAAACAAATCTGTATGAAATCTGCATACGAGACAGTATGTTACCAACGTCCAAATTAAATCATTGTACTTGTATTAATTCATCAAGCAATAGGCATTAAAAATTGAAACCCATTTAAGCCTCCTTTAAAACTCTTAACTGTCCTTCAATTTCTGATATTTTGCTGTCTTTTTGATAAAACCAGCATCAATAAGGCTGTAAGCCATGTCTATTACAGTGTTTCTTAACTCTCTAGGCTTGAAATCCAAATCTTGAATGACCTGTCAATCAATAGAAGGGAACGAAGTCACAGAAAGAACAAAAAATAAAGCATACTAAAGCTGTCTTTAAACAACTAACAGGAAAGGTAACATAAACTATAGATTGCTATAAACTGAACAAAAAGGAAAATTTTAATTACAAATATATTCCAAACTCTCTTGTAATAAATAATTTGGGAAAGTCCTGTAATATATGTTCCTCATAATGTTGCACAACAAGCTTTGAAGCATTGTAACACCATAACATAAAGTTGCATATGATCATTTGCTGAATTCTGCCTTCTGCCTGTTTCCATGGTCATCCCAAATAAGCCAAGAGCCCCTTACTTTTGAGTTGTCCATTCTGATCTCTTTTCCAACAGCAGGCAGAATCATTTTAACTGAACCATCAAACATTGCAAGTACTCGTAATCCAAACTTTGGGGCAACTCTTGTTGGCACCTTGTATCCTAAAAAAGAAATGAAAAGAAAGTCACTGTGACTATTGTGTGGACTTTGTTATCACACAATTAATTTGTATAATAAATATCTTAATTCTATGATCAATAAAAGTGATTATTTCAAGGCAAAACTTTACCAAACCATATGGCCAAATCCATAAATTCAGGAGGAATTAAAATCTCAACTGACATTACCTTTTCCTGAAAGGATGTCCTTAAAATACATTTTTAATGTATTCCAGATTTTTTTCTTGTGAAGAGATTCCATTTATATTTCTGGTGGTGTACTGTTAGCAACATCAGTGAAGACTTACAGGTTACTTTTCAGTGGGAAATGACATGAAGTTTGGATTGATATTTAATCTAACTCAAAAACAATCATAAAGATCAGGAAACAACATTCATGTTTACCAAGTGACCTAAATTCTTCATCCAGAATTTTTGCCATTTCATCTGTCCACATAGATTCTTTGATGACAATATATCTGTTACCTAACAAAAAAAGAATATGATTTAAACATTCTTATTTTACCTTGGGTTGGTACATAAAAAATTACTGCAGTGTTTGGCAAATTGACATATTACCCAATTAAGAGTACATACTGTGTTTGAATGATGGCAAACAGTGTACTTAAGATTATTTCACTGAAAAGCTGACATCCAACTGTGAATGATTTATGTAACATTCATCCACTGCATGACAATTTTAAATTTCATAACATAATGCCACATGAAAGAAGGATTTATGTAACATTCACAAGATTGCATTTTAGATTTTGTGATCATGTACTGTCACACAATCCATCATCTACCTTCTACTGTCTATCCTCCACTGTCTACCATCTATCTGTTGTCTACTGTATACCACTAAACATCTGTGTTTTAGTACATGCCAACTGTCAGTGCTTCTACAGTTATCTTACCAGGGGCTTTTGATGATGTCATAGCAGTTATGTGTACTGCTGCTACATCTCTGACATCGCACATTGCAAAAGATAGCCTGGGAACCATTGGTATTTGTCTTTCAAGAAGACGTTTGTGAAACTAATTAAAACAAATATGTAAATTAATCATTCAGCAGATTATGTGATCAGCAAACATTGTGCAATGCCCACACCTTAAAACTTGACAAAATGATTAGTCTAATGAGGATATTCATAAGCAAGTGTTAAAGAACCAATAGGTAAAGTAATAATTGCAGCCAATCATAACAAAGGGAAACATTAATAGGGGTCAATGAGAACATAACATCAGGCAAACTGTCTTCAATGCAAAAAAATTGCAATTGACCAAGTTGTGACTGGTTTCAGTGTTAATAAGATGTTTGACAGGGTGATGCATGTTTTCTAGACCAGTCATGGTCTGAGGCATAAACTAAAACCAATGTAATCCTGGGTTATTTTGACACTCAAATGAGAATGCTTTAATATTACATTCTATTAACTACAATTAACACAAATAATTTGATTAATATATTAAACAGTCTGAATGACAGTTTAGGACAAGTCTTAGATCCAAATTTAAAAATAATAAATAAAAGTAGATACAAATTTCTGGCACCCTACAAATACCTCCATGCTTGTGCAGTTTGATCCTTGTAGAACAGGTCCTAAGATGAATCCAGGACAAATGACACACAGTTCAAACCTCTCATCATCTGCAAATCATCATGTCAAGTTAATAGGAGATATAAGCCAACAATTCCATCTGTTTCCAATTCTGTCTTGTCACAAAGCAATAAATGTAAATTTTTAGGGAATTGGGGAGAAAATACCCTTCTAACTCCTACACAAACCCTTTTTCCCTTATTTCTATTTGGTTTTTTGTGTGTTTTTTCTGGCCCTGTATTTCTCATAACTATCACATAAAAACATGTAAATACCAGCTGGGTATGAATAAAGTTGTTTTTAAAATGGTGTTTATGTTTAATTGCTGCCAGCTTCTTCTTTATTTGACCACCATGGAAAGACTTTGAAGTTGATAACTTTTTTTCACCCTACCCCACAAGAATATCATGAGAAAATAATAATCCTACCTTGCTCCAACCCCGCCCCATTCCCCTTCAAGCTGTTATCAGCACCAACATGGTGTATCATTACATTTACATACTTAGTTTTTTCATTCTACTTTAAATTAAAAAATAAGACATTAAAAAATGGCCTAACTAGTTATGTTTAAAACAGCAGTTTGGTCTGGAGTAAGCACCTGGTAAGTCCTTCTGTAATTCCCAAGCAGCTTTCTCAGCAAGGTTCTTGCTTTTTTCATAAGGACTACTTCCTTCCTCATTGGCCCAATCACTCTCAGTAAATGTGATTTGTTCATCAAGACGCCCTCCTGTAAAATACACACAAGAAGCCTTACATTTATTAAATTTATCAATGATTCACTTCAGTCTGAATCTTGTTTGGGCAGTGAGCTTCTGGACTAACATTCCAAGACACTTGGTACCATTTCATTCTATGTACTAACTGTTTCCATCTCAAATCAAGAATTAAACCCAATTATATTATTCATGTTTGCTTGAGTCTGTACATTTTTTTTTCACATGTGTTAGAGAGGTGAGATGGATGCCCTTCATTTCAACACAATTAATTTTTAAACCATAATATATTTTGGGTTCAAATATTTAATTAAAGTTACTGTGAAATTAAAAAATATCATGAAAATGAACCTCAATGAAATACTACTGGGCCAATAAGTTATGAATCAAAATTTTCTCCAGTAGTCTTCATCAGAATATAACATCATAAAGCATCATACAGCTGTAAATTGATCTGAGGCCTCAGCTGGTGGACATGGGAGAAAAGATTCTGATTCTAGTATCCACAGGTTAGAACTACTGAAAGCAAAATTATCACACACCATAATGCACTTGTTCAAACACCAAAAACTTGCATCTACTATAATGTCAAATTTGAACAAGTAGAAACTAATGACAGTTGATGATAGTCGATGATAGTGCATGGTAGTTTGAGATCAAAAGTGCACGACAGAGTTGCAACTATTATCAATTATCATGGTCATCATTATTATTTGAATGGGGTTTTAATTACCATAAATTGCAGCAACAGAGCTTGTCAAAACAACTCTTTTAACTCCACCCTTGGTTTGAGCACATGCTTGGAGCACATTTTTAGTTCCCTCTACTGCAGGTCCTATAACCTCCATTTCATTGCTTGGATTAACAGCTGGGAAGGGTGATGCCACATGAATTACATAAGTGCAGTCTTTGACAGCCCTGAATAGAAGTCAATTAAGAGAGTTGAAACCTAATCACACTCCCACAGGCTCATCTATGTATAACTTATAACAGTTTTAATTATTATTATGAAACAGGCCTGTTGCAGGTCATTTTTATGGTCATTTTTATGGTCATTTTTATGGTCATTTTTTTAATCAACAGCTAAGTTTTAAAATTCTAATGGCGTAATTTATGCAAAGTTTTTAGTTCGATCAGAACAATAAGGAAGGGGCCAGGTGGGGCCAGGTATTTAGTTTAACTGACAGCTGTTTCGGGCGTGTGGAGAAAACAAAATTTTCGCGAACGAATAATGCACAGAATCATGTTTCCAAATAAATACCACTTACTGTAAATTAAACAAATTGAAATTGTTGCAAACCAACAAATAAACATAACAATTGAATTAAAAGCTTGATCTTCTTACTCCTGCCAAGAGTCTTTGTTCATCAGGTCTGCCTCGACCAGTTCCAGTTCATACATGGCATATTCTGGGCAGAGGTGTCTCAGAGGACCCACTTTTTCCTCGTTTGCAAGACTACGAACTGTTCCACGAACCCTGTGTTGTCCGGCTTCGAGCAACTGCCTCACAACATGGCTTGCAAGGAAACCCGAAGCACCTGTCACCAAAACGCGAGACATCTCACCCTTGTAACTATAAACCCTAACTTCGTAGATTGAAATAAGCGAGTAAGTGACGTCTAAACTGTTCCCCGTAAGAAAATAAAAATAAAAATAGTATTAATAGCGTGAGATAGTGCCCTCTGTCACCCTTCACGGCAAATGTACGTCAGTGAGCAATGAATGACTATAAATTTGCATCCAAATGTAAACTTCCCTCTGATTGGATAAGTATTGGCAGACATTGTTCGCCTCTTTTTCAAGAGGCGAACAAGAATTCATTTAAAACGAAGAGGAAAATAAACATACATTACTAAAAGGCACTTTTAGCCTTAAGTCAGGGTTGGTTTAGGGGCGGATTTTGCGAATGGCGGGTATGGAACATGAGCCGGAGCCAACCGCCAGTACGAGGTCCGTCAGTGTTACCACTTTGCATCCAAATTTTGAGTTTTTTTGCAATTCTTGGACGATAGCTAGTTCAATTCAAGGAGTTCGACCTCGCCCTTCGTGCCCTTTTTCCCTGATCTGCCACCGATATATTTAACACGAAATAGCCGAAATGTTACACGTACTGTGGTTGATCAAAGCAAGTGGCGGATCTAGGGGAGGGGCCTAGGGGCTCCGGTTCCGCGCCCCCCCTTATTTTGGGTTGAAAGAAAAATAAAAAGTATCGCAGAAGAAAGAAAAGCCGGCAGGGCTAACGACGAAAAAACGCCTCTCCCTCCTCAGTGGCGGATTATTGATTATTTGAAATAGTCAGATAAATAATAGTCTACCAGTGGCAGATCTAGGGGAGGGGCCCAGGGACCCTGCCCTCACCCTCTCCCCCATTATTTTGAGAAAAAACAAAACAAAACAAAGCTAAAGAACCACAGAGGGAAGAAAAGCTGGCAAGGCTTTAATAACCAAATTGATATAATTCCCTCAGTTTTCAGCCCACCTCAAGATGAGAAGCAGATAGGTCCTCAGGAGAATACATGGGATCTTGATAAATAATTCACACTTTAGTAAAAGGAGCCTAAATTAGTTTTAATCAATATTGCATCTCTGAATAAATAAACCAATGAATGTATATAAATATACTACAATTAAAATGTATACATTTCTTGTAAGGAAGCTTTCAAAAAATGAATTAAGGGGCTAAGCTTCTAAGGAAACTGTGGTGCTGTGTCAGGGGGGAGAGTATAACTGGGTAATTAAGTATTATCAACTGAGCTGATAACTTAAATCGGCCACTGTAAAGAGTTTAAAAGCTGAAATTTCAAGCATCAGCTCCTCGTCTGTAGTATTTCAAGTTTAACTTTTCTGAACTTTCTTTTCTTTTTTTAACACTTAATCAGATAAATAATTTCAAGAACAATTTGAAATTTAGACTGCTTTATATCATTTTCAAAAGGTTGTTTAACATAAATATTTTTAAGAAGTACTGAACAGGGAATGGTTTTCAACTCAGTTGTAAATTATGCGTTATCTTGGTATCAGTTCACTTTCTCTGTACATGTCAAGCAATGGATAAATTTCTCCAATGACTGAGAACAAGCTAGGAATGTTGAAAATTTCCCCAGTTTTACATATTAGTCATATGGTCTGACAAAACATTTAGCGCCCCCTAGTAGATGGTCTTTCTCGTGGAATCCTTCTGGTTTGACTGGAATGTTGGTTAAGAGGAAGAGCAAAGATCTACAACAAACAAAGACAAATGATTAGCACCTATTTTATACACAAGCATAGAAACATTTATGCCTAATGACCCTTACCCTGGTGCCACTTTCATGTCTCCTTCCCATTCAGCTACTCTATTTGTGTTCCTTCCTCTCTGTTTAAACTTAACCTACTCTAATTCTAATGGTGTCCTCGACCTCCTTTTCTAGATACTCATCTCCTCACCTTATCCCACTTCTTTGTGTGCATCCTCTCCCTTCCCTATCCCTCCATTCATTTGCTTTGTCCACCATGCATCCATATCCACTTTCAACCTACCCCTTCAATCATTCCACCTCTCTTGTTCCAGCCTGGTTCCTCTCCACATCCCTTCCTCTTTGCTACCTTCATGTGTGGCCTCAGATTACATGCAGACTTTTGGGTTTCACCAACTTACCTGGCTCCACCTCATTTCCTCTTTTAGTTGTCTTTGTTCCTTTAAATTGGATACCAGACCAAGAGCTTGTCTTTTCAGTGTTTGTTCAAGTTTTAGGATCTAATAATGATACAAAATGATACAAGCTAAATTTGAAAAAAAAGGTTTCATCTCACAGGCTATGACATTTATACAGGACCTCAGCTTTTTACAGTTAACAGTGAACATGGCTGGTTGGCAAAAAAAAACTAAAAAAATTTGCGAATGTTTTATTTTTAATTACTCAAAGTAAAGAAAAACTGCTGAATTAATAGTAGAAAAAAAATAAATAAAGAGAGAGAAAGAGACAGATAACCAAGGAGGAATAAGGCTTATGAAAAGACCATGCAAGAGACTAACTGAAATGAGGTTTCTGAGTTCCACTGTGACATACAAGTTTAGTAACCTCACTGTAAATATAGAAATTATGAATATAATAAATTATTCCTCCCACCCCCCCATACAGAAATGATACCTGCTCCTTTGATTTCTGCAATTTCTTGTACAGCTCATCCCTATCAGACATGTTTACTGTCATTTTGTTCTGCAGAAAAATGAGTTACCATCAGTTAAACTTAAAATATCCCAATATGTCAACAAGAAGCAACACCTTAAAAACCCTGATCCACCTTAATCACAAAAATAGGTTGGGAGATTTTACCGTTGAAGTGACTCTTCTTACTGCCTTCCTTTGCCTCTTTTCGTCAAAATTTTGTGTTATTGTTGCAAGCAAGGTCAGGGCATGTACAGTGTTTTAAGTAAATTCACTTTTGCCTCTAAATTGGGTTTCTTTTTCACAAGGTTTCATGATCATTATTTCATCAAAAGATGTGAGAAACTTGGAGCAATTGTTAATATCAAAAATGAACAATTACTGCTCATCTGGGTGACATGCAGATACTATACTGCATTGACATTAGTGCTTATGCAGGTGAACTACTATCACTACTAACTCTGTGAATCAAATTGACAATTTCAGGTAATGGCAAAATAATGTAACACCCACAGGTAAACAAATTTATCACCTTTAGGCGAAATAACTCAGAGGTGGCTTCATTTGCTCTCTTTGACAGTATAGAGTTCTCAGCCTTGAGAAGTTGGTTTTCTTCTTTCGTCTTATAGATATCATCAAGTAGCATCTGAAACAATCAGGTTGCTTGTCATGGTATAATAATTTTATGGATAGGCCACTTGTTTTACCTCTTCCCAGTCATGCTAATAATAGCTATATCACCATAAAACAAGTAACACTCTTAAACTGACCCTGTCAGATGAACTGATGAAAACTAAAGTTGGAAAACCTGAGCTCTGAGAACTTGAAATGATGGAAATTGATGAAGATCAGGCTGTGAAATGTGCCAAAGGGAAACCTACTAAGTGCTTAATGAAACTAAAACCTTAATTTCACCTTGTGTATCCTTAATGCATGATCCTGTTTTTTAAGAAGCAGAGCTTTTGCTCTGGACACTGGAGCAGTAAGAATGCGCTGATTTCTACCAATGGATGCTGTGTGTATTTGAGACCTGCATTGCAACAACTGATGATTTTCCATTTCCAGTTTCTCTTCTTCATCCTTTCCTGGGATGGTCTGCCAAAACAAATTCAGTACAAAAACAAGACTACTTTATCATCATATTCATTCTATTTTAAAACATAATTGCAATTTGGATGAGAAAAATACATGAAAAAGAGGAAAAACATTATTTGTGCTACAGCTGCATAATCTCACCTCAGCCGTTTGGATGTCTTCTCCACCAGGCTCCTCTACTGAATTCACCTCAGCTTCTGTCTGGCATTCAACATGACATGTTGCTAAAACAAATAAAATAGGAACAGAGATAAAAGATTTAAATAGCAATCCAACAAAGTTAACTGATATGAACTTAGTCAGACTCAAGTCGCTATAAAAATTTCTTCCTTCCCAGGTGTAAGGAGCAATGGAGTCCTCCTTGCATTCAAAAAGCTACTGCATCATAAGTCCTCAGCTCGTGACGGATTGTTAATTCTCCCCACTAGCTGTTGCACTTTTTCTTTTTAAATTGATCTGAAAATTTAGTGCTGAATAAAGACAAACACGTCTAACAGATAACGTTGAGTATTCTCATCACCTGTTTCCTAGATAACATATAGATAATGTAGGAGAAAGTGACATCTTTGTCACTTCTGTGAGTTGAAGGGTTAAGATTTAAGAGCAAAAGTTCCATTGCTTATATGATTTCATATGATATTTAAGATTTCGGTCTTACAAAAGGACATTTTTTAATAAAATAATTTCATTTAAAAAACAATTGTAAAATGAAACATTTTCTGAGAAGGTTTTTTGAAAAATAACCGCTTTGGATAACAGCTGTTCCAATTATCAATCAAAAATGGGAGTATTAATAACTGTGATAAAGAATTGCATCGACAACGAGGTATCAACTTACCAAAAGGTGATTCAGATTTAGTTTGTTCATTTTCCTCATGATGTTCTGTGTTGTTATTTACAGCAATAACTAATTTCTCGTCTGTGTCGTCGGTACTGGTAACCGTTCGTGCTTCAGTGATTTGTTGTTCTTCCTTTGCTGCTGCCGGGCACTTAGCATCAAAATCTCTGCGATCAACCTCAAGTTTTCTTCGTTCGTTCGCCAAGTCCATTCTTTCACGGCGTAGTTTTGCATTATCTCTTTCAAGCTCGTTTGTCCAAAGTTGAAAATCCTTCCTTACTTGATCGTGAGCGTTAAATACATCTTCCACAAAAGATTCAAGGTCTAATTTGAATTTGACGAGTTCTGTAGATAAAGCTTCGTTTGGCCCCTGTGATGCAGCTAGTCTACCCTTCAGACTTCGAAGCACAGGATATTCGTCACTCAACTCAGTGTACTTTGATTGAGAACCTTCAACAGCTTCAAGAAGAAGTTTAGATTTTGCAATGGCATCTTCTAGTTTTCCTTGAAGACTTGTTGCACCTTCTAACACTGGAGTTACATCAAAGAGCGCCATGGAAAGACATGTTTTGAAATGGCGCTGTTGCGTTGACAACTGCTAACAGTTAAGGGACGAGGGGAGGGGAGAAGGCGAAATGTGACTTCACCGGGGTAGAACGGCGCAAACTCTGTTTTTATTAAAATCGTCTGCTGGTATTTTGTCGTCGCTGCCAAATCGAGAAATCGCCACACCGGCTAAGTAAATGATGAAACAATACATTCCATGTTGGGCTATCTTGAAAAGAATATTTCTAGGCGGCCAGGGAGGTCACTGATGCGTAAAAACTATCACAAGTTCCAAGTAGATAGACTGAGTAGACAGGGAAGGCCTACACATATCCATGACATACCAACTCAGCTGCTGTGATTTTTCATTCCGATGAGAACTTTGTTTCAGAAATATGTTTTTTGCCCTCAAAAACAGTTCCAAAAATTATCTTTACTTGTGTAACAAAGGCAACAAAACTGTACAGGGCACAACATATTTTCACAAGTTCGGCACATGAAGATGGCCTGAGGCGTCATAAGACTCTAGCGACCTTCATGAATCTGGCGGCTGAGCCTTGACTTATAAATTAGTAATAAATACAACGCTGTTTTTAAAATTCATGAATATGTGTCAAAATCTTCGTTCTTAAAAGTAGGATTTATAAATTAATCAAACTATTCAGAAAAAAGATACGTAGCTTTGACTAATACACTTCTCAAAATAAAACCAGATCATGATGAAAACCAGTTGTTCATTTCCATGAAAAATTGATCCAAACCAAACATTCAAGGAGAAAGCAAGTTAAGGAATAAAAAAAAGTAAAATACATAAATGGAAATATGTAAAGCAGGCAGAATAACAACACAAAAAGCTAAATGTGATAACCTTAAAATTGTGAAAATCGACATGGCGTGATTTTCATGAGACCACTCTACCCCGATGTCTTGAGAGATGTTTACTGGTAAAAATAGAAAAATAGACATGACACTCGCACCACATTGCACGACCAATCATATAAGAGTAATAACTGGTGGCAATACCTGATGTTCGTTTTGCATCGCTCAGAGAACTTAATAACTTTGAACATATTCTGTGGCCGGGCAGAAAGTGATAAGAAACCTCTATTCTTTTATCTCGTCACTGAGATAAACTGCATGCAAAATGAAGGTAGACTGCATAAGTACTTCGCCCACCACTTCGCAAGCTGCTCTCGTCTGCGGACATTTCCCGTCGATCTCATGCAAACCGTTTCAAGTCCCTGAAGAGAAGCGAGAAGGAAATGAGGAAAAATTCAAAGCCTTTGTTTTACCATATCACAAGCGTTTCAAAGGTTTAAACCTTGTAATGGCCATCGCAGTTGCTGCTGTAATTTACCAGCTGGAGTGCGCAGTAACATGCCTTCTGTTCTGTCTAGTTATACCGTTTTTGCTGGTTGGGTTAGCGATTTTAAAATTAGCAAAATACATCGTGGAAAGTTACATCGCCTTCAAATGGAATTGCATTCCTTTTCGTGAAGATGATGCCGTCTGGCAGCAGGACCGAGAGACAAACCGTCATATCATCAACGCTCTGATGATTATTGAAGGTTTGCCAGACATCGAGAAACTCCGCAGAATTATTTACGAACGGCTTGTTTACGGAATAGATGAAAGGGGTGAACGGATTTGCCCACGGCTCACGCAAGTCATACAAAAACATTTCGGATACTTCGTTTGGAAGGAAGATGAGAATTTCGAAATGGAAAACCAGGTTTTGAATTGGAAAGGAGATAACCCAAAGTCTATGGAAGATCTGGAAGTAGTTGTATCTGAACTCTGTTCGAGTCCTTTACCTCAGAGCCTGTCTCCCTGGCAATTTATTGTGGTGCCGATAGTCGAGGAAGACAGCTTTGGCCTGTTACTTCGTGTTCATCACAGTGTTGCTGATGGAGTTGCTTTGACGAGAGTGTTTGTTAAAAATCTTTACGATGTACCACCACAAGGACCTGAACCAAAGAAGTTCTCTACTAAACAAAGATTTTACATGTGGTGTAAGGCTATTCTAGTTGGTCCGTTGACGGTACTCATTAAGTTTTTTTCCAGAGCGGACCACTCTTGTATTCACGGTCAAGACCTTTCTGGCAAGAAATTTGTGGCTTGGTCCAAGAACATTGACTTATCGCTTGTCAAACGAGTCAAGACTGTGGCTGGTACTACAGTAAATGACGTGATGGTGTCCTGTTTAGCAGGAGCTTTGAATGATTACCTTCACAGCCAACCCAACAGTGATGCTGTCAAACTCGACGATATGTGGGCCTCAGTGCCGGTAGATATTCGGGCATCGACACAATCAGTCAAGCTCAAGAATAAATTTGCCTTAGTATTCCTGCGGCTCCCGATTGTGGCCAAAAACGCATTAGACAGACTCCTTGCGACCAAACAACGCATGGATATTATCAAGGCATCTGCCGAGCCTCTAGTGACAGCTACAACGGTACAGATGTTAATGATGTTGCCTGAATGTGTGTCCAAGCCACTCATCGATTTCTTTTCCAGGAAGATGTCGTGTGTCCTAAGCAATGTACCTGGACCTCAGCACACTTTATACCTGGGAGGTCAGAAAATTACTCAGGGAATTTTCTGGGTCCCTATGAGAGCAAATATTGGTGTGGGGTTATCTATATTTAGCTACAACGGGGAAATTCGCGTCGGAGTTTATGCGGATGAATGCGTTCTTCCAAAACCCAGAGAATTAGTACAGGAATTTGAAAAAAACTTCTGTAAATTAGTAAATGAGTTAAATATAAATGAAAATGACGAACCATGATCAATGACGAAGCAAACAAAATAATACAACTGAGGGTTAGTTCAATTATTCAGTGTTTATTTGACTGAAAAGGTAAATTGAAATTAAGTGAAAATGGATTGTATTATAATGATATCAACATTAGAGTTCAGATCTGAGTGAAGCTCAAGGATTTTAGATAAAAGGTGATAAGCTTAAAACTTGACAAAAAAAAAAAAAAAGAAAGAAAGAAAACGATTTGCATAAATTGATGACCAGGTACAACAAATAGTACTAAATGTATACTTTATGTGGAAAAAAACAATAGGGAGTCACCATCAAAGTCAAAATTTACTTATTTTAAAAATTTACCGGTAATTGAGAAACCAAAAATTAATTTAATCAGATACTGAACCATTTGAAAGTATACATGGTGTAAGAGTTGGCCTAATAACACTCCTAATGACATTAACATGGAACCAACAGTATTTTCCTTTTCAAGGAAAATAAATTAACTGGTATTTTTACCATGTTTGTATGACTTGTGTGAATCCACACAGGGACACAGTTTGTAGATTACTACAATGTAACTTCTATTGCAGGACATTATCCTGTAAAAGAGTGATTAGTTCAGAACAAAAGAGGTGTGACATGTTGCTAACATCTTCCACTGCTAAATGCAGTGAAATCTGCACCAAAGATTTCTGACATAAATCAACTGCATAATTAAATATGTGAACTTTTTGAATCAAACAAAATAATTTGATTATTTTCATGAATATGACAATAAATATCATTTTTCTCATTTGCTGATTTGTGCAAATTTATTTAGTTTATGGTTTTTTTCTAAAAAACTGTGCTTCTCAATAACATGCAAACTGCACTTGATGCTGTCATCAATCATATCTTGATCCACTAATGAAACTAGTAGAATCATTTGGAGAGTTTAAAAAGTCCCAATCAATGTTGTAATTTGTGGATTTTAATCAATTATTTATTCTTCAATTTGTCTATCTCTTTGTTTTCTTTCTTTTTATCTTATTGGTTATTTTCACATTCCCACTACTATCTGATGATGATAAACAACTGCATGAAATTTAGTCCTCATTTATAAGTATTGAAATTCACCACAAGGCCTCACTGGAATGTCAGCATTAACATCAAACCAGAGCAAATCATTAGCTTGCTATGATAACACTTCATTTCCATACTTCTTGTACTGTTCATATGACATGAAGAACTTGACAAGAGTTAAAGAAACATGAGCAATATTCAGTGTCAGATTCCAACTTTACTAAATTAATAAAAAAATAATTGAAACAGTCACTAGTGATACTACCCAAAACAAAATGTGAAGACAACAACTATTAGTAAGAGACAATTAAAGTATTCCACAAACATTAAATAAACCACTCTGAAAACTCCAAGGACTAGAAGATCAACAAAGGATACAATAACATTCCACGGAAATAACCTCAGAAACTGCGGTACAAACCCTCGATAGAGAGCAAAAAATCCTTCAGACCTCAAAGTCTGTCAATGAAGGACGAAAAGTAAATGAATAAGACACAACAATTAAATGGCATAAAAATTTTCTCAACAAAGAACAAATATCATTTCCAGTAATGAGAGGGCTAAAATCTAAAGGTAGGGAAGTTTAAATGTAAAGGCCTGCAAAGCCTGCATTTAGCTCTGTTCTAGAACTACAAATCAGAAATTGGTTAAAAAAGGAAATACTGGTTAGCCCACAGTTCATAGAAGGTGTCAGTATTGAATCATAATTGGAAAGTTGAAAAGAACGAGTAAAAGCCTATGAAGCCTGTATTTAGCTCTGTTCTGGAACTACAGATCAGAAATTGGTCAAAATATAAATTCTGGTTGGCCCACAGTTAAAAGAAAGTGTTAGTGTAGAATCATAGTTGGTCAGAATACTTTTCTTGATTTTTTAATTAAAAAAAGGTGAAGTCCTTTTGGTGAGTTTGCATGACAATTCACTCTGTTTTCTCAATGTTTAATTCAAACTTTGTTCTCACTCAGATAAATTTTGTACTCAATAAATTGGACTGATGGCTAGCTGCAACACTAGAAAGAGAGAAGATAGAGGATTCTGCTCCTCTACCAGACCAGATTGAGCATCACAAGTTGTTCATGCCTCAACAAGTTAGTATCTTAATATTGTTTTGCAACATGAAATCCTAACGAATAAGCTTTGGGATCCAACACTGGAAAGATTTTATAGCAATTAAATAACCAACAATAAACAAGGCAGTTAAAGTAGAACTGACAATAAGAATAAAGACAATAACATGGATAAAATAAATCACATGATTAAGAGTAAAAGTTACTCACAGTAAGCAAACAGTGGGCAGCACTTGTGTAGATGACAGCTGCACTTCCAGTGTTTACTTTCAGATTTCTTTGATTCATCATTCTTGTCTAGACAAATCAGTGAAACAATATTACATACTCAAAGAGTTCAAGACAAATTCCTTAAAAGTATTCAAATAGCAAATGGTTCTTTGTCCTTTGGTCAACTGACCCTCACAACATCTATTGGATTTGAGGCTATAGCACCTGCCAGTCCAGCAACTCCACTAGCACTGAAAAAAAATGAATATAACATTCATTTATCCTATTATTGATAACAAAATTATGCCATAAATGTTAAACATCTTGGTGAATGAAAAACTGGGTGTTACAGTGTTTATAGTAAATTAACATCACATGAAATATGACATGCATGTGACTTTTTTGGTAAAAAAAATGGGCAAATTGGCATTGATTCATCTATTTGTAGCCAGAGTAAAAATTTCAAGGCACAGAAATTGGGTGAGGTAATGTCATCATTCTCTCTATTTATCATTAATTTAATTTGATTGCACTAAGTGTTATTGGGACAAGTTATGCCACTTATACTGATTTTACAATTACCAAAAATGAGTGTAAGGGTTATCACCCATAATCTTGAGATCCAAAATTTTCTTTTTACACCAATCATAAACTGGAAGTTCTACTCCTGCAATAACTGCTGCTCTTTGAGCTGTGGGACCAACTCCCTAAAGAAAACACAGAAAAAAAAGCAGAAAAAAAAAACAGTTCACACAAGAACAATATATACGTATAATGCTGATAGATAAAACACTTGAAACAAAATCAAGTCTAAATTGAGGTATAAAATAACATGACTGAAAAAAAAGGAATCAATTCAATTTAAATAATCCAATGAGTACAGTACCAGAAGAGATAGCATGATGAGTTCCGATTAATAATAATTATAATTGTAACACAACATTGCTGACGAAGACTCTTGTTACTATGCAATTAATTCCCTGAGCAAAAATTGGATAATATTTTGCAAATTACCCGGTAGAGTCCCCTGATTCCCTCCTCTTTAAATATTGAAGCAAAAGATTGGAGCATTCCTTTTCTTCTCACATTGACAACTGATTGATACTCTGCCTGCATACGAATCTGCAACATAGCAAGGGAAGATATACATAATGAAAACGAAAAAGATCACAATGTCCTAGCAACAAATATGTTGCTTTTAATATCAGCCTTATGACCTTGTCATAAAAAAGCTTGATCTGCTCTAAAACTGGTGGCAAAGCAGAGACACATCAGCAAAATGTTTGGATCCACAGAGTCATCTTCAAAATGCATGGATTGTCAAAATGTTTATAAGTATCTTTTTTTTCAGTATTTGGACATTTTTTTGATCCCCTCCAATATCTGTAATCAATCTTTTAAGAACTAGTTGATAACTCTCTCCTCTCACTGCTATACATTTTCTTCTAAATTAGTTGCAGGAATCTGGGGTAAGATCAAGATAACAACTTGTACCTGATAAGTTTTAGTATTCTAATTATCTATTCTAATTATTATTCACTTTCAGGAGTAAAAGGGTTCATTCATTTACCTTTAAAAGATCAGTAGGGTTACATATGGCTGATGAGACTGCTCCAGCAACAACCCCTGCAATTACATTGTAATATAAAGTCTCATCTGCAGAAGGAAAAGAAAGAAAAATCAAAGATAAAAAAACATTTCAGAATGATACCAACATTCACTTCCTTATTTGTTTTTACCTTTTGGGTTTTTTACCAGCCTTCTTTTCAGAGCATGGTAGAAGCCTAACTTTAGAGATCCATAGGTTGCTTGGCGCAAAAGTGCAGGTGCTACCCTGATTACAGTGAAAGAAAAGTTGATACAACTGTCAGTTAATTAGAAGCTAGTTAACTAAATTTATTATTTTTTTAATAGAAATACATTAGTCATAGGGAAAGAGAATTTCAAATTCTGAATAGGGGTTTCTCCCACAGAAATTCTAGATAACTGCTCTTACAAACCTCTGAGACAAATCTACATTCACATCAATTTATAGGAAAACTCTATGTCAATAACATATTATCAAATCTCAAAAGTCAAGGAACAAAATGTGTAACAAAACTGTACAGTTTTGACATGAGACAGATTTGAAGGAAAACAAGAGAATGTGGTGATGAAGAATATCATTACCTAATCATTTGATTTTATAAATACACAAACAGTAGCAAATGAAGTGTCAATGGCAATTTGGTTTCCCTTGAAAAGCCAGCAGTAAGCATTGCTACAAAGTTCTGGTAATTTGTTCCAAATCTAGCAGATCTATGCTAGATGTTGTTTAAAAGATACTGTGGCAGAGCTTGACTAATCTCCACTATTTGATTTATTTTTGATTGACCCTAAATTGGTTCTGGACAAACCCATTATACAATGCCTTGATCCCATCTTCTCTGGCAATTCTGACAAAAGCATGGAGCATTCCTCGATATCTGATCTCTTTCTGTTTAGCATCTATCACCTGACCTTGAAGCTGTAGCCGTGTTTTTGTCGTGTCAATAGGAAATGTTCCTGTGACAAAACATCATAGCAAAATTTTCAACATGTATGTTTCCAGCCATATTGCTGGCCTTTAGGTCTACTACAACAATGGGAAACAGGAGCAAAAAATTGAAGCAGGTGGTTTGGTCTAACTCTTTTAAGTGTCCTTATTCATGCATCTTGAACAACCACTGTTGCACCTTTTATGGACATGAGCAAGCAAGAAAGTGTATTTATTCAGTCACTCCAAATATCCCACCAGTAATTCTCCTAACTGTCTTCCATACAATTCTCATGATGTAAGTTTAAAGAATTTGGTGATGGATCAACAAATAATCCCCTAATTGATATTAATGAATTGATATTGTTAGGAGAAATTCTGTCTTGATCAATCATTGTAGTTAAAAGGTTTAAGGTGTCCTCACTCTTCAAGGCAGTTCTGCATAGAACTTGGCTCATTAGGTGTTTGAATGTTGATACTCATTAGTTATAATAATATATTAGTTTCTAATAAGTTATTAGAAAATTACTTGCCATGTCTCATGCCATTGATAAAAGTAAATCTCCCCTTCAATTAATAGTTTTGTTTGTGTTTGCTTCTTTTTTATCATAAGTTCCTTTAGAGTGTCACTTCCTCAATGGCTCTGGCAGCAGCCCATGCCACTATTCCCTACCCCCAGATTTCTCTCCAACTCAACATTTAAAAATTGTTCACTGAAGAGGAGGTGGATAGCAGTGGATGTTTACTGAGCTGCAAAGTATGAACACTCTTTATCAGCTACACCTCCTGATCTATTGCACGTTGGCTTCCTCCTTTCCCACTCCACCCCTCCCCCCGCGCCTATCGTTCCCTTCCCACCTCTCCACTACACCTTCACATTTCATTCCTTGAGGGAGAGTCGCTGCAGAGGTAGAGTGAACGATAGAAATTTATTACCTGAGTTCACAAGACAATAATTGGGATGTATTCGGAAATCAACACTAAAATGTAAAGTCACCTCGTCTTCTATATATCTTAGAGGTCTGAGAAGCCTTCGACCTTCAATCGGTGAAAACGAGAAGCTCATTCAGGCGCAAAACAGTTACCAAAAACATCAATCTTCTCACCAAATTCAGCAGTCATAGAGGCTAATCCTCCATAGATAAATGGTCTGTAATCCATGTAAACTTAAATTTCTTAACGCAGGAGAGCCTGAAACGTGTCACTTAATTATCCTTGGCCTTTCCAAGTTTGAGAGGATCGTCGGCTCGTACGTTTATTACTCAGCGGTCGCACTACTTGAGAGCGAGGCATTCGTTTTCATAGAAACGTATCATGGAGATCATTCTGATTGGTTGATGTATAATTCTTTGGCCAATTAAATATCGCGTGGTTTAAACCCGCAAAATCCAAATCGTTTCTGCACAGATAAAAGTACAGACGAACGGAGTAGAAGTCTTTTAAAAATTTATTGGTATTTTGAATAACAGTTGACAAGGTTTCATTTTGAAAGAAATTTTACATACTCTTTAGTGAAGATGGTTAAAACGCGCTCGAAACCTTCAATTTCGGTGTTTAACAAGAAACACAAGGTCAGTGACAAAAGGAACTCGAAGACGTTTTCCTCCCAGTATGTAGAATGTCTGAAATGTTAGACTTCCATGTCATCCCTTGTTGAAACAGGTCTTATGTTGTGCTTTGTGTGATTTCTTTCCAGCAGGATTGTTCTTTAGGTGAAAACGACGTTCCTGCTCATCTTAAGGAGAAAGCCGCTGAGAAGACAAAGCGACCAGCGGATGGTTCTCCGGAGAACGTTCCTTCACGAAAAAGAGCAGCTTTTGGTGATATTACAAATGTGAGAAAAGTTTCCCATGTTCTTGAACGTATTCTATAAGATATTCCTTTTTGTACTTCCCTTGAAGCCACAAGTAAAATATTTTACTTTTGGTTCTTAGGCGACTTTTAACCAGCCTGAGAAAGGAGGGAAAAAGAAGCAACCGAAGAACAGCATCGTGCGAAAAGACACGGAACAGAGACAATGTTTCACAAAGACCAGTGCAAAAGTAAAACAAAACAGAAGGAGCAAAGAAAAAGATTCGCCCAGCAAAGATCGAAAACCGTTAGTCTCCGCAGTGAAATCTCAGCCTTCGTCGCCATCTGGTGATATTTTAGGCTATGGAGACTGGAGCGAAGAATCTTCCCATTACCAAGATAATTTGAAAATATCTGCAAGGTTAAAAACTTGCATTTCGTTAGTTCTTGACAGATACTAAGCCAGCATTCTTATTATCTTTTCACGCAGTACAAATTCTGACAGTGATTACTCAATTTCTTGATCACGAAAGAAAGTATGTAAAATACTGATTTGAATCCAAAGCTATCGGTAATATATATACAGGGATATTGATTTTATATTTATTTCTCAGCTATTCTAATAATTCAAATATTTATCAACCTATATCACACAATTATCAATAAAAAATTTAGATTGGCCATTGTATTATAGAAATGTCAGAACTTCACCTAAACTTTGAAGCTAAATATTGAAATGCCAAATTGACTATTAAAGAAAAATGTAATTGAGAAGTGCATGAGATGTAAAATTTAAAAGGCTTTTCAATTAAATAGGTCATCACTGTTATCTATCTTGAAAGTGTTCACTGACATAATGTAATTTCTATATTTTAGCACCACAGGTGAAAGTCTGGATTCTACAAGAACTCAAAGTGTTAGTGATTCTGCCTCAACAAGCTTGGAAGAGTCACTAAGGTATTCTTTTCTTAGTTTTGACTCCAATCACTTGTGTCATATATTATATATATATATATATATATATATATTTATTCTGCTCTGCTTCAACGTATTGAGCACTGTTCCACGCGAAAATCGACTTGCAGACTTCCTATATATATATATATATATATTTTGGAGAGCATTTAAATTAAGAGTTGTAAAACCAACACCAATGTATTGATAACAGCCAATTAGTAGAAAAAATTACAAGGAGCCAAGAAGAACTCCAAACAAAAACAAAGTAATTACCGGAAGTGCAGGAAAATCAGAGTTTCTAGGTGACAATCCCTTTCAGTTTTAAACCTGATTGGTCAAGAAGTCATTGGTCAAGAACTTGGCCTAAGCTTAGTGGACAAATCACACAGTTAAGTCAAGGAAATCCAAAGCAGTCGCATATTATTTTGAATACTTGGTTGAATTTTGCTCTTTTACTGAAATTACAACTGACAGTGATAGAGTGCTGACATTTATTATCAATAAATTATTTCATGATAAGATATGATAATAATTACCATTGAACAATGTCTTTTCTTTTTAAATAGTAATTTAGGCTCTGATGATAACAAGAACAACAAGCCAGGGGTAGAGCAACCCTCCAATAAAAATGTGAGTTTTAGCATCCACAGATACATAAAAAACTAAAAATACTTCTGTGCATTTGTCTTCAGAATTGACTAAATCAGTAATCCCCGCTCTTTTGTTTCATCTTGCATAAGACAATGATTCTAGTGTGAAATAACTCTCATCAGACCATTTTATCCCATTTTCCTAAGGAAATGAAGAGAAGGAACATGTCAGGGCATCTTTTTCTTTTTTTTTTTTTTCCTGATTGGCTTAACACGGTTCAAAATGGTTTCTCAGCAGTTGTCCTCCTTATGAACAGTTAAACCTTCGACTTGGAAAAGGAAAAAAACAAAATTTTTTTTTTAACAATTAACCAATTTAAAAAACTGTCTCAATTTCTATTATCATGGATGGCAGGTTAGCTTTCAAATAATTTTACTAGCCAATGAATGCTCTTCTTGTGTTGAAAAATCAACTGTAAGCCATGTTCATCTTGATAGAGATACATACAAATGAATCAGTCAGATTAGACTAAGCAATTTTCCATAAATGAGTTTATCATTATTCTGCAGGATGGAAAATTAGCTGATGATGCAGTGATTGACATTGATGCCAACACATCAGATCCTGTAACTGTGTCAGATTATGCAAATGAGATCTTTGTAAATATGAAGAAAAGGGAGGTAATAAGACTTGGTAGAATCACTTTTTTATGGTCCATGTTGGAGTCAGAGCAAACTAATTCTGTTAAGATAACTTAAATAGACAAATGACTGGACAGGATCATCACCAGAAATTTCTTAATCATTTATCTTCCTACTTTCAGGAATGTTTTCCACTGACAAATTACTTAGAAAATCAGCAAGACATAACTGCACAGATGAGAGCCATATTGGTTGATTGGTTGGTTGAGGTTCAAGAATGTTTTGAACTTTATCATGAGACTCTGTATCTGGGTGTGAAACTTCTTGATCATTTCCTTGAGGGGAACACAATAAAGCGGGATGAACTGCAGCTTGTTGGGGCTACAACTCTTCTTATCTCATCTAAAATTGAGGTACAGCTCTTTTTCTCCATTAGCATGTGCATCACAAGTTGTATTAACACACATCATTTTGTGAAAGATTCCTCAAAGAAACTTTAATAATGTCCAAACAGTCTTTGCTTAATTAAAACAGTAACTTTACCTGCACTTGTTTTAACTGCCAATGACTCACTTGCAATGTACATGAAGATCTTAATTGTAGAAAAAAGTCTAATGAAATCTTGAAACTGGTAGATTGAAATGAATAGATTTCCATATAATCCCATACTTCAACAGTTATACAGTGTTAAATAAAATAAAAACAATTTAGATAACCATTTTGTTTACAGCTTTGGTTTGGAACAGTATGGGGTTAAACAAAATTCTTTCTGTAAAATAATAAATGTACTGAGTACAAGATACTGCAACAATCAAATCTACCTTTATTTCATTCTAGGAGCGACATCCACCATGCATGGACGACTTCATTTACATCTGTGATGATGCATATAAACAACAGCACTTTATTGCAATGGAAACTAAAATCATGTCCAGTTTGGGATTTGATATTAACATTCCCATTCCTTACAGATTCCTCAGACGATATGCAAAGGTTAGAAAAACCTATATTGTTATTGTATGATGTGCACAAAATTTAAATTGTGAATGTTGTTTAGTGACTTTGCCTAAAGTCTTTACTGAGGAAATGTAGGATTCCAAGCAGCTTTACCTTTATTAAAACTGTTTTACAACAGACCTCAATGTGTTGTTGCCTCCTTGTAGAAAATTATCTCTTTATAATGTTTGTCCCCTTCCAGTATCATTAGCCCAAAAATAAAATCCAATTCACTGTGATGTCACAAATCTCAAGTTTTGGTATACTGTTTCCATAGTTCTGTTTCTTACTTCCTTGGGAAAAAGAGGCCTGTTAAAACCTGCCATAACAAAACACTCTGGTGCAAGCTCAAGTTGCAATATGCTGTCCATCCTTTTTATTCATTGTCGTGCTTCATGTTTTAGTTATAGCAAATTTTTATTCTTGTTTTCAGGCTGCATTTGTAAGCATTGAAACACTCACATTGGCTCGTTATCTTCTGGAAAGCTCCCTTCTTGAAGGTCAATTTATTACAAAAAGAGCCTCAATGATGGCTTCATCTTGCTTATACCTGGCAATGATGATGAAGAACTGTGGAGAATGGACAGCTACTTTGGTACATTACACAGGCTACAGCAAGGCACAACTACATGACTGTGTGTTACAGCTTAACGCAATGAACAGTGCACCAGCTAACAAAAACTTGATGACTGTAAGAAATAAGTATTCACATCAAGTGTTTCATGAAGTGGCTACAATCCCACCTTTAGATTCATTAACCATTCAAATCTAGATTATCTGCTCTCATATGTTCAAAAATTGTATGGATCTGATTGAAATACTTTGTAAATAAGC